ATTTTATCATCTTCTGCTACCTTTCATTTAATTTGATTTGTATTTTTATTTGTATTTGTATATTGAATTTGTGTTTTTGTTTTTAAATGAATAAATTTTATAAAAAAAGAGAAACAAAAGGAGATCTGTGCTGCAAACTGAGGTAAAAATACTGTTTAAGGATGTAAAATAAGAATATTTTCATTAGACTTAACCATAAATTACAGCAAATTTCACGTTAAGACAAAAACACGTGTCAGTGCAGAGGTCAGTAAGTTTTACAAAAACATTTTAAAATAAAACTTTGTGAGCATTWAACCTGAACTTTATTTCCATAAATGGTTCTGTATTGACTGTGACATAATAGTCATGGGAAAAAAACGAAGAAAATTTAAGAAAAACATTGGTTTAACTGATTATATAGTGCTTGTTTATACGTATTTTTAGGTTTTTACTGCTTTGAGAGCATTGCAGAGGAAAAATTGCCTGAAAAACTCAGTAAAATGGGAACAAACGTTGCATTCATGTTAATTTTGTTTTGGTAAAACCCATGACCGGTGGGACAAACAGAATTAGATAAATGATGAAAAAGGCACTTTAAGCTAAAAACAAAGTGCTGACACAGCTTGGTGTATTTCCTCAGGCTGGGTAATCCAGAACATTGGTCTTATCTCCAAAGCTGCCGTCCTTTTAGTCTTCTGAAACTGATGGTTCCTGCTAGAGGATCTGAGAGAGCGAGCAGTGCTGTGTGCAGATAAGAGATCTGAGCGATACTGAGCAGAGTTTGTTCTATGGAAGTAATTAAATGCACCAGAAAATAAAAACTAAATAAAACTGAGATGAGATGTTCAACTGATGTCTGCTTCAAATGAATGTTGCAGTCAGTCAACCTGAAACAGTCAGACTGGTATCTGAATAGTTGTTTTATTGGAGTAAATTATGAAAAGACACATGTTAAGAATGTGTTAAATTCAGAGCAGATTGTTTTGTCAGGACATTATTTATCGAGCCAGCAGAAGAAATGAAGAGATAATTGGTGCCAGAACTCATGTTTGATCAATTTATGTGCAATTATTCCAATAAGCTTGTATAACAGATGATATCAAGTCAAATCAGGATGCACATCATCAAATATATTTGTGGCTTTAAGTTGGGATTTAAAACTACCCTTCAAAAATTTCCTTTTATTTCTGTATCACGTGTTTTTTTTTTCATGAGTCAGCAGTTTATCTGCTTCCTCCTGTCACACCAACCATCTACTTTACTCCTTCATCACATACATCATTTTCTGTGTGGTCTTCCTCTTCTTTCTCCTCTGGCAGCTCCATAACACCTTTTCATCTAATGAACGCAGCAGTACAGAATATAAAATTGTCTCTTGATTCAAAAATCCAAGTTCTTTCAATGAGATTTTTCAAAATGTTGCACCAATATTGTTAGTTTTCAAACTGAGATGTGGACTCAAAAAATCCAAAGTTCTAACATTTTAACATGATGCTTTTTCACAATACTTTAAAAAAGTTGGATTTTTCTCACAATAAATGTAGACTTGATCTGTTTCTTTCCTTTTTTAAGGCCACATTTTAGACAGAGACAACCAGACATCTTTTCCCTAAATGCGCCTCATGGGAGTCCCCCCCCCCCCAAAAAAAAAAAGACACATTGGAGATGAGACATCTCATCTGNACACATTGGAGATGAGACATCTCATCTGTGTCCTGAATCTGCTCTGCAGGTCTCCTCTCCATCAGACCACCAGACCCATCCAACGTATTCAAGGAGACAGAATCTCACTAAAGATTAACCACTAAATTAAATTTAAAAATCCTATTCGTCACTAGGGGCTCGGTACAAAATAGCCCAAATATAAAGTGAGAATTAAAGCAGAGCTTTTCACACAAATTATAATTTTCAAAGCAAATACTGACAAAAAAAGCTTTTTGTGTTGAAAAATGTGTGCTTAGTGTTACATGTCTAAGATAAGGATTTGAATTATTTCTCTCTTTCTTCCATCTGAGGATTTTCTCTTGTTACACAGTAGCTTGAGTTTGACCTCTGACTTCATCGCTGAAAAATGAATCTAAAATTGTTGCATTTTTAAATGTTTCCTTTGTTGTCGGCCTCAAACAGCACCTCTCGGAGCGCGTCTCTGTTGGACTATCAAAGTTTGACATTTTGCCATTGCTGCGACTGTGATCTGGTCCTGTGACCGGCCGAACCTTCCCTTTTTATCTCAGTTTTTATTACTTCAGTACTCCGTGTTCTTTTGAAGCAGCGTTATGTGCTGCAAACAAACATTAATATTCTCTTTACTTTCAAATTAGTCACAAAAACCCAGCTTTTCAGAGAAGATCCCGTTGTTTTTCTTCACCGTATCGCCTCATCAGTCATTTTAAGCTTGCAGGCTTTGACTTTTAAGCCGACATGCTTAATGAAATGAACATCCTGCTCTGCTGACTAACTCCTATTAAAGATTACATGTCTTTAAATGTGATCCACTCCACATGAAAACTGAACACATCAGTCAGCATTACTGTTTCACTGTGGAGACTTCGAACATTTGCAGAAAACGTTTTGTTTACACTAAAATAATTCAGTAAATTGGATCTTATCATTTCGACCAATTCTCCTTCAAGTTTTATCAACTCGTTTTATTCTTGTTTTGTTAAATGTCCTTTCATCCGAAATGCAAATTAACTGTTACAACTGAGATCACATCACCTCTCCTAATTTGTTTACAAAGTACAAATCCCAGTTAATATTCTCATATTAAGAGTTTCAAGCTTCATTTACCCTCAGATGGTGGAGCAACAACACATCTCGCTGCTGTTAAACTAAAAGCTGATCTGTGGACACGTCTCAGAACATCTTAAAGAAATGTTATGGTTTTCAGTTATTTTTTCTGTCCATTTTTGTGCTACTTTAGTTATTCACATATCAAAATATTCAGCTCATTAGGAGGTGGGTGCTGTGACTTTTAGCTTGTGTAACTTTAATACTTTGCAAAATATTTCACTTTTATTTACAAAGAATTACTCTGTAGGGGACATCAAAGTCTTCAAATCAATCCCTTGAAAAATGTTCTCTTTGAAATCTGCCTCAGCAATATGGCTAACTTTTTATACTTTTAGCTACTGTTCTGTTGCTATTAGCTTCTGCTACTTTTAGCAACCATTCCACTATATCTTTCTGCTACTATTAGCTACAATTCTGCTACTTTTAACTACAGTTCTGCTGCTTTTAGCTACCATTCTGGTACTTTTAGCTACTGTTCTGCTGCTTTTAGCTACAATTCTGCTACTTTTAACTACAGTTCTGCTGCTTTTA